GGCCATCGGGCACTTCTGCTTCTCGAGCGATGTGAGGCCGACACTTGTGCAATGCTCTCCGTGTCCATGTCGGTGACAGACATCCAGAAATTTCTCAGATCTCGACCACAGTACTCGACCTGCGGCGTGGCTTGCATCAACAGCCCGACTGCCACAGTCATAAGCGGTGACGCCAATGATATCGCGCTGCTACAGGCTGATCTGACGGCAATTTCGAAACACTCCAAGGCGCTCACGGTACCCTACGGCTTCCACTCGTTCCAGATGGACCCGATGCTGGCCGACTACATCTCCCTTGCAGAGGGCGTAACTTACTCGGCACCGAATATTCCGGTGGCATCAACTCTGCTTGGTTCTATTGTTGACACAGCTGGAACATTCAGCGCACGTTATCTCGCGCAGCAGACACGGCAGACAGTTGACTTTGTCGGCAGTCTCAATGCCGTCAAGTCGAAGCTGAACGACCCCATCTGGCTGGAGCTCGGCCCTAGCGCGGTCTGTGGCTCGTTTGTTCGGAGCACCCTTTACCACTCATCTCCAACAAAGGGAATCATGTCGACTCTGGAGGCTCCTGGCCGTGAATCGGCTTGGGGATCCATCTCTAAGTGCTTGGCGGTAGCTTACATCCACGGTGTCGCGATTGACTGGCTCAGCTTTCACGCACCTTACAAAGGCGTCTTGAAGATGCTGACACTACCATCGTACGCGTGGGATCTTAAAGACTATTGGGTCACTTACACCGACGTCAGCGACGAACAGGCGTCTTCCCTGTCCACCACCAAGCCAGTACAACAGCAAATCACCTCGACCTGTGCACAGTACGTTGTTCAAGAATCGTCATCTCCCAGTGGCATCCAGGTGACCTTTCGCGCTTCGCTTGCAGACCCAGGCCTCAGCGCCCTTGTCGAAGGTCACCGGATGCAGGACCAGCCGATATGTCCGGGCAGTGTCTTTTGCGAAGCAGCCATTGCAGCAGCCACTTATGTTCTCCAATCCAATGGTAGAAAGGAAGACGCCCAGCCCCAGAAGCTGGCCATCCGGAATCCTATCATGTCGCGTCCACTGACCAAGCATCTTGTTGGCTCAGATGGAGAACTCATCACAACCGTCTCAATGAAGGGCTCACCCAGCAATGAGATCCACGTCACATGGAAGGCGTCCCTGTTAGAGCGTGGGCCCTCCTACGATCTTGGAAGTTGCACATTGACAGTGTGCAACAGCATCGAGAATCTGCAGGATAGCTGGGACCGAATATCCTACTTCATCAAGGCCAGAATGGACGAGATTATCCGATCTGCTAAAGATGGGCGTGGACATCGATTCCGGCCTGATATTTTCTACGCACTCTTTGGTGCCTCAGTCCAGTATGACTCCCAGTACAAGGGCCTAAAGGAGGCATTCGTGTCCGATGATTTCTCGGAATCTGCCGCAGAACTCATCCTCCAGAAAGACCCCCCTGATACCCGGTTTGTAGCGTCTCCCTACTGGGGCGAGATCAGTGCGAATTTGGCCGGCTTCACGGTTAACGCGAATCCGCAGAACCAGCTGGATGCCAGTGGGACCAGTTTCATCAATAGTGGGTTTGACAGCTTCGAACAGACGGTCGCTTTCAAGCCAGAACGATCATATTTCACGTATGTTCGCGTCTCCCAGGTAGACAAGGACACGAAAAGCTGCGATGTTTTCATTTTCGATTCGGAATACAGGCTGATGGCCCAGATTTCTGCTTTGAAGTTTCGCAGGATCAGCAATGATATCCTGGGACAAATTCTTTCTGGAAAATCGAGGACCTCCGGCGCACGTATCAATAAGGGCCCGAAAGTGGCCCAGAAGCAGGAAGCGCCTAAGGTAGCGTCGAAGGCTATAGAGCCGTCGCCAGAGGTGAAGGAGACCGCCGCTCCGGCCTCTAATGAAGCCTTTGAAGTTATGCTAGAGAGTATTGCCAAAGAGACGGGCATCGACGTATTGGAACTAACTGATGATGTGGCACCAGCCGAGCTGGGGGTCGACTCGATCATGGCCATCGAGGTGACGGCCACCGTGTCCAACGCCACGGGCCTAGAGCTACTCCCTTCGTTCTTGGTGGAACATCCTACAATTGGCGAACTGCGTCGTGCTCTTCAATCGATGTCATCGCCGACCACCTTCAGCTCTGATCTCACTCCCCCTGAAAGCGGCACTAGTAGCCCCCAGAAGTCAATCAGTTCAGTAGAAACCTCGGACCTGGATGATACCTTTGTCGTGCTGAAGGAACCCACCATCCCGACACATCCAGAAGTTGATCACTCGCCAGAACCAAAGGCTGAAGAGCAGATCACTGTTGTTGATGACTCTTCGCCCGGCCCCCGTGTCAGAATGATATTGCTGAAAGACGGGGCATCTATGACCGATGCACCACCCTTCTTTATAATTGCCGACGGCACCGGTAGCATCGGTAGTTATATCCACCTCCCGGCACACATCAAATCCGGAATGCGCATTTACGGCGTGGACTCCCCTTACCTACGGTGTCCAACTAGGCTGACCACCGACGTGGGCATTCCAGGAATTGCCAAGCTTATCGTTGAAGTCCTGGTGAAGAAACAGCCCAAGGGAATACCCTTCTGGATTGGAGGATTTTCCGGCGGAGCCATGATCGCCTACGAAGTTTGCCGCCAGCTATCCGCAGCGGGACACAGTGTCGAGGGTCTCTTGCTCATCGATATGTGCTCGCCGCGTAACGAGAAGGTGGCCGTCAAAGGCGACCTCGGCTTGGCCATGTTCGACGCGATCTCCCGACGAGATGATAGCGGCGTCTGGAAGATGACCGACAATACCCATCGCCACCTTCAAGCGCTGTTTGCGTCTGTCGCCGTGTACAACCCCCCACCGCTTCGCAGCACCGAGCGACCCCCAGTGAAATACACCGCCGTGATTTGGGCACGGAAAGGCATGATTGGACGAGCTGCTGGCGATCCGCAGCTGTTGCAAGTGCTGGCTGAGCAGGGCATTCCCACCGAGGCTTATCCCGGGTTCATGGAGGATCCCCGTTTGGGTGCTGTCGGCTGGAGTCTAGCTGACAAGACGGATGCAGACCTCGGCCCTAATGGCTGGGACCGATACGTTGGCAGCGACAGGCTGCTGTGTTCGTCTATTAATGGGGACCACCTCGACTTGCCCACGCCAGACTTCGCGCATTTGCTCGGCGAGGCTATGGAGCGGGCATTTGACCATTTTCGGGCTGCCTAGATAGAGTGAATAGGTTAGATGGAGATGCAATAGGATGTATTTCTCGATAGGATAATACTACTAAGGTATCTTTTTTTCAATTCAAATCTCCTGCCACCGCATTTGATGTCCTCGTTCCGTTCAAGACGAACCCATGTGTGTAGAAACGACCAAATCTGACCAATCTAGGGAGGTCTGCCTGTCCGGGTGAAGTTGCATGAATTTTCCAAGTAATTGCGCTTGGTGCGTTATTTACATACATATGGTCGGTCATATGACAGCCGAATCACGAAAGAGTCGTTGCCTAGGTTAGGTTGGGCCTGGACTGAAAACCTGAGGCGTCAACAATATGAGCACATGTCTATTCAAAGGTGCCAAAAAACGACTTTACATTACATTTCCTCTTAAGGTCACGAGGAAAACCACCACGGATAATGTATTGTATCAAACCATACAACACTCTCCAGTTAGCCAGCGTCCTTCATCAACTACAAAATCCTGTCCCATCCTGAGGATTCTGATTCTGATAGACAATACACAGCTTGCCATTTCCAGCGCACTACCAACCTTAGTTGAAAAATTAACAAGCAACACCGTTTGAAGATTCTTACCGGAGCCTGAGGAGAACACCTAAAATCTTGCCAGCCCTTGGTTATCCAAAACCCCCTGGCAAACTCTCTATGGGTCACCCTGCATATATGCTGCACGGACACTTGCCCTCCTGGCGCACCGTTGGTGATTATATAGCATTGCTTTATCTAGTCAGTCAATCGGTTTATGGTTTTTTGAGGGTTCGGTTGACTAACACCCTGGGGGACCGTGTTTTGCTTGGGGGGTTTGGCAGCTAGGGGCTTGAGTTGTGGTTGTGGTTGCTGCTGCTGCTGGTCTTGGGGGGGTAGGGCACCCACAAGGCTGGCGGAGAGGGCGAGGATAGTGAGGGAGGTAATGGGTTTCATTCTATGATATTTCACTATTAATATTAGGGTAGATATAATGTGCAAGGAGCAGAAAGCGAAATAGGAAATGGAGTACAGGGATTTTTCAATATTGTGCGTAGGTCGTACTAGTAATTTATTTACGTGGAAAAAGCTGCTGTGGTCCATCCAGTCCTATTATTTGAATTTTTATTCTAGACTCTTAAATGACTTGATTCAATTTTTTGAAAGAACTACAGGTTTCCCAGCAGTCGGGCGTTAGAGTTCCATTTCTTTTTTGATCTAAAAAAAGGACTTTCACTTTGTGTATCCATGATCAACTTGTTGAAGGCGAAGTCCCCTTTATATCTGATTTTTCCGTGCATTGGGTCTAAGATAAAATAAAATACAAATTTACTAGGCTACAGGGCACTATAAGGTTTGACAAGGAACCAAACTGATTGTACTCCGTACTGGGCAGTTGTGTTCTGTACAGAAAACAGCTTGGACTAGGGTTTGAGTCTTGACTGGCCAGATATTCAAGATACAGGTAAAAGTGAACTGCGGTTGTGCCCACCTGGGTAAAGTTGGAATTTGTTAATCTCATCTGCCGTTGTATTCCTTGATACTAGGAAATATTTGACTACCTCCTTAGTGACAACTTGTGCTCTTGGGTAGAACAGATAGTTGGGCAACGTTCCCTATTGCAAATAAAGGGACAGCATCCCGATGCTTCCATGGATGGATCGACTCTTTGGAATCTTTCCAGGCCCACTTTCTATCGGTTATACTTCTGCCATTTCAAAAAAAAAAAAGCAGAAAACAAGTGTTGCGAAAGATTCCCAAGACTCAAAAAAGAAGTAAAGTAAAAAAAATAGTCGCCCAATGCGGGGCTCGAACCCGCGACCTTGAGATCACTAGGGGATTTGTAGAAATCGGACTAAAAGTCTCACGCTCTACCAACTAAGCTAACCGGGCAGTTTACAAGAGTTTGATTAGTTAACAATACACAAGTAGAAATAGACATCTATTATTGTCTCCAGCCCATATCTTTCCAATCCCTTCCAGCTGTAGTTGGGTAATTGATGGCGGTTCTGTCACCATATAAAGTTGCTCCGCAGCTCCATGTCTGCGAGCAGTGATGAGAATATGTATAAAAAAAATCCATTCCAAAGCGCTCTGTATGGCAATATCTAGTATTTACACACTACCTAGCAGAAAGGATAGCTCAGTGGTTTTGCCATAAAAGAGGTAATAGAGAACTTACTACCAGTGAGTCGTGACTTAAAAGGTCAACCTATACCACATCAACGTATCTGGTAGTTATGACTCCAATGTCGAGCGAATGAAGCAATCGACTACCTAGATCATTACCACACTCTGAAAGACTTTTCAAAAAAAGCCTCCCCACCTCTATACTTCCCTCATAGCTTTCATTTCCTCTTCTTCCCAACTTTCACAATGGCCCCATCCTCTTCTACACCAAACACAGAAGCAAAGGATCCCAAAGATCCAGCCCTAGACTCGAACGACATCACCGCGGCAATTCATCTGCGAGTTGTCATGTAGCTGCTTATGCTGCCGTCCAGAGAAGTTGTCCTAGAAGGACTGGCAAGGATTTCAATGGTCCAAAGCCCTAAAAAATCACCTTCTCAAACGCTTCCTGCAGCCCCTGATCCCGTAACCACGCCTCCAAAGCCTGCATATCACCGCGATTCGCCCTCTGCCCACTCCGCTCGCCCAACGAATCCGTAATCTCCTGCATGTCCGAAAACACCCTCTCGACGCCCTCCGTCTCGCGAAACCTCTCACTAACCTTCTTCTGATAACTAGGAATATCCCCCCACGAATGCGTCTTAATAAACCTCATATAAGCATCAATATCCCCCTCCGTCCCCTCCAGACACAACAAACCCGGTTTCCCGGCCAACACAAACCCCGTCAGGGAAAACCCCGGCGCATGATTGACCAAATCATCCCGCTTCTCGCGGGTCGACAGCGACGGGAAATAAAACCAAACCCTCACAATCGACTCGCAACCGACAACCGTTGGCGAAACCATCGTCTGCCGCGCTTCAAGAAAGCTCTCCGCCGCCGCCTGGACATATTCAAATGCCGCAAAGATATCATCTGCGGGCATCGCGGCGGTCAATTCTGCCAGCTCGGCTTTGGACATCCAGTCCGGTTGCCGGAGCGAATAGCTGGGTGGTGGTGGTAGCTGATCGATATTGGGATCCGTGCTTTGCAGTGGGATGGAGATGTTGACTTGGATTCTTTTCTGGTCGGCTGCGACTGGTAATCGGATGGCTAGTAGTATGCTTGATGGGATTCCCGATGGGGGGGATGTTGGGTCCTGGCACCAGTTTTGGAGTTTTTCGATGCATTGCGTTGTTGATGTGGGGATTTCGAGCTCGCCTGGGGAGGGGAACATGGCTGTTAGGAGGTCGATCATGGCTAGTTGCGATTCCATGATGTCTGGTGGTAGGATGCATGGTTGGTTTTGAGTCATTGTGTGGATGTTGCTGTTGAATGCTGCTCCAGTTTCGCTCCCGACCGAGTGACGAAAAAGGACTCGGATTTATAGATAACTTGTCTTGTTATCAAGTGATGGTCTCAGTGCGGGATTGCTAATGGCTACTGTTTATATCCGTTGGAAATATGAAGACATATGGTCAGTTGAACATCCAATCTGGGTAGTTTCCACGTTCCACTTTCAGGAAGAATAATACTAATCTAAAAACTATTAGTATTCCTTGAGCCATATTCCAAATGGATCGACGTACTGATCATATAAAGGGGAATAGTTGATTTATTCTTGACAAGGAGACTTGCATCGTCTTGCATGGAATTTATCCAATGGAAGGCGATCAACTGTGGCTGAACGTCTAAGCCACTGTATTTACTTCCCCACACGCAGGATATGTGGCTGGAACTATTAAATCCGTTAAATCCATCAAATGTTACCCAAGTTCCGCCCGATGCGAACTGTACTTTTTATTCAATGCCCACAAGGCTTTTTAGAAGTAAGGAAAATGACCTTGCAAATAACCAAGCGATCTGTCATTTAGATTTTCTAGGTAGTACTCACTATACAGGTTGAGTTGAGTTGCATCTTGTTGCAATGCTGTCGTATGCTTCTGAAATTATATCAGATAAACTGGACATCTCTTGCTAATAGTGACTCGTTACTTTAGGCTACATCTACGAAACTTCTCAATACGGACAGTTAGACAGATGTCAACGGCACACCCTCCTTCAACAAAGCGTAGAGACTGGAACGACAATGAAGAACTTTTTCGTTTCACTCGCGGCCGATTTCTTTGCGATGAGCCTCGTCAACTTTCACAAAGCTACGTTCGATTCAAAATCGACGAGCTCGCTCAATTAGCTGTCCGTGCTGCCCAGGATGCCAGTACTGGAGCCCAACGATGCGTGAAGATTGAAAAATTAGCGGATGGAATGCACAATAAAGCTGTACGATTCACGATGGATAATGGCTTCCAAGCTGTTGGCAAAGTACCCAATCCAAATGCTGGCAAGCCGCATTTCACGACTGCCTCTGAGGTTGCTACAATGGATTTTGTATATGATCTAGCCCCTGGTATTGATTCTCGAGGAAGATGCTGATCCTAGGCTAGGTGAGAAACGTAATGGGGATACCGGTGCCAAAGGTATTCTCTTGGAGCTCCACGGCTGATAATGCAGTGGGGGCGGAGTATATTCTCATGGAGAGCGTACGCGGCGTGCAACTGAGTAAGCTATGGAATCAACTTGACGTGGAACTGAAGTTCAAGGTACTGAAAAAAGTCACGTCATACCAAGAAACTTGGCTCCGTACTTGTTTCTCGCAATACGGGAGTCTCTACTATAAACAGGACCTTGCGTATTCGGCTCCAAGTGTTAAATATACTAATACTAATGGCACAACTATTGTGGACGACCGTTTTGCAATCGGTCCGTCAATGAGCAGACAAAATAATGATGACGGCAGGGTCGAAATGGACTTTGATAGAGGTCCTTGTAAGTGCTGTGACCGCCACGATGACTATCTAATTCTCACCCCTTCATAGGGACCATCGCAGCAGATTATGAACGTGCCACTGGTCTCCGCGAATTACAATGCATCAGAAACACAGCACGGCTTCCAAGATCCCCAATTGCGATCTATTATTCCGGGACGTACCGACCTTCCAGAGACAACAAGATCCTCGCGGTAGAGAGCTACCTCAAGCTGGTCAAGTTCTTGCTCCCAGAAGAGTCCATCCAAACCTCCCATATCTGGCACAACGATTTGCATGCAGAGAACATCTTTGTCAATCCAAGCGATCCGTCGGAGATCTATGGGGTTATTGACTGGCAATCTACTGAGTTGGCGCCGCTATATGATCACACTCTTGAACCCTATATTCGCGATTACGACGGCCCACCTCTGGATGGATTATTGGAACGACCGAGACTTGCGGACATTCGTGCACTCTTTCACGATGAGCCTGAGTCAATAGCCAGCCGTAAGGCTAATTCATTGTTCACCGAAATGTCCTTGGTCTCTTTATACAGACACCTGATACGCAAGAAGATTCCACGACTGTTTAAGGCCCTCGAAAATTGCGAAACAGTGTCCTTTGAGTTACTTCTATTCGCTCGGAATCTTCTGGTTGATGGTGAAGCAACCTATTTAGCACTATTGGCAAATCAACAGCGAGAGAATTGGAGGGATATTCCAAGATTAAACCACGGAAACGAAAAACCCCCACTATTTTTCTCAGCAGACATGCTGGATAAAATCGAAATGGACCATACAAGCGCAAATGCCTCCATTGAGCTGATGCGGGAAGCCCAAGAGATGATAGGCGACAAGTTCTTTTACGCGCGGGGATTGGTAAGCCATGAGGAGTTCCGCGAGGCCCAGCAGATTATTCCTCAAGTAAAGGCGGAATTTATAAGAAAGCATGCACGCAACGAAGAAGAAGCACGAGAGTTAGAGTATGCTTGGCCGTTTGAATAATTGTTTCCATCGATGCCGGAAGCGTTGGGAATTGACGAGTTCTGACTACAGTGACCTGTGCTGCAGGCAAGACTCCAGAACAGAAGAGCCTTGAAAAGATATTACTCCATTCTGCACAGGTAAGGGATACAAAACCCAAGGGGAAAGATGAGAGTGAATTGGAAGACCAGATACGGATACGGAGTACTCCGTACTCCGTACAGGATTATCTAGGAGTCCAGGGGACCCTACGGGAAGTAAGGGTGTATGCTGGTCCTGAAACCCTTACCTTCATACTCAGCTCATCTACCTGGTTCCCGGGTCTGGTCTGCCACGCGCCTCCCCATACATTTGGGTCATTAATATTTTCCATGTACAATCCACCATATTGACAAGACCTCCCTCTATCTGAGCAGCATTAGCTCACCTTTCTCCCCTGCTGGTAGCATAGCTGGTTCCGGGCAATGTTTCTCGTCGAGTCGTACTTTGTGTCCGCTGGGGCGATCGGATATCTAGGGTTACGGACAGTCACCAGTGATCATGACCAACCTGCAGGACAAACTATGAGGTTGAATATTTAGTAGAAGTGAAGTATCTATCGATCATCAGATAATCAAGGCCTCGAGTACGGAGTAATCAATTGTGATATCGGCGACTACGCTATTTTCTACATACTAACTCGACACTGCCACCGTGAATCAGCGAGTGATTGTCGAAGGATAATTTCCCAAATGTGTTATTATTTTACCTCCAATGAGGATTCCAATATCTCGGATTCGCGCACCCGATTGATTATATTACCCCGCGAAATGTTCATTGAATATAGTACTAGTCAAATATACAGAGAAGAAACGGTGGTCGGGCCACGAAACAAATCACAGAGCAGACGTCGGTGAGAAAGAACACCGGGGGACATGGCTTACTGATCCACTTTGAAGCGGTCCAGGAACTTGAACGTGCGAAGGCCCTCCTTGACATCATCCACGAGACCACC